GGTAAGATATTTTAATGCATTGCATGCATTTTACAAGCATAATATTAGTATTTTTATATTTTGCCATTTCAGTATTATGTATATTTATGACGCTAGCTCTAAACGACTAACAGTTGATTTTTTGATTTGAAGCGTTTTATGTCATTAAAATATTGCAAAATTGCATGTAAAATTTTTTGAGTTAGATTTTCCGCCCCCCAAACTCAAATAGCACGAGCCGCCACTGTTCCTACGTAAAATTTTTCAAAAACGCCAGCCTATTTGTAACCTCTACAACCACTTTTCTATCCAAGATTCGGCCACATTTCTTGTTTGAGGTATCGTTTGCATCCCTACCCGAATCCGAATTCAGAATGTATGTGGCCATCCCAATATAAGGGTATGATTCCATCACTTTGCTATCGCATGTCACGTCATAACACATTTATTGCACATACCAACCAAAGAGGGGGAGTAGAGCAGATACATTTTTCATTTTAAAATATACACCAGCGTGCATCTGGTGTATACCTATATATGGTTGGAAGTAATGTGGGGTTTGCAAGTTATCAGACTTTGATAAATGATCGGTGGTCCGCGGCCAGCTATCCGTGAAAAGGCGAACAGATATGCTGGCCTGGGCCGGAATATGACTTAGAAACCATCATAAGTCTTCGTGAACGTCAGTTGTACATTTGCGGATTGATGTATCGATATTAATGAGCGCAGCCCCCGCCACCTAAAAGCGCGTATGTGTTTGCTCTTTCCTCTTTCAGTTTCCCTTTTTATCTCTATCCACGTGAAACGTACCTTTTTGAAAATTGGAGCGCTGGAGGGAACTATTGGAAATTTTATTTCAATTATACTACAAGGCCTTTTCGTTTCCTACATCACTGGTATTGTACTCGCAAAAAATTTCGAAAATGAGATCTGTTTTTTGGATGTTGGACTATTTTGGGATTTATAACCTTCTGCTATTTTTTCCTCAACTTTGACCATCTGTGGTGAAATGAAAGTGTACTGGGCTACTTTTGGATAAATTGGATAGATATGGAATCAGAGGTAAGCCATTTGACTGGTTCCACAGTTATCTAAGCAACAGAAAGCATTATGTTGAAGTACTGACCAGCACCTATATCATACAGAGGTTCCACAGGGTTCCATACTTTGTCCCCTCCTATACATAATATACATATGTCAATAACTTTCCCGCCAAATCCTCGGTAATGTATGCTGATGATACCTCTTTACTTATTACTGGCAAAAACCTGGAGTCAGTGATAATAAATGCCAACAGAAGCTTAGCTAGTGCAGAGCAATGGTTCATTAATAACGGCCTGGTCTTAAGCCACAAAAAGACAGTGTTCCTGAGATTTAACTACTCTAATATGCACATGGATCGTAGTCTCCTTATAAAATCAAGCGGTAGATCGATGGAACAAGCAGAAGCTATAAAATTTTTAGGAATACACATGTCGCAAAACTGCAAATGGGATACGCATATAGAGAAAGTTAGTCAAAAGATTACTTCTCTTTGCTATTGCATATACCAGCTGAGTTTTATCGTGATAAGTGGATATTGTTAATGTTTTACCATGCACATATCCATTCTACTCTGACTTATGGAATAGAAGCGTGGGGAGCATCCTCCAAGTTACAAAGGCTTCTTATATTACAAAAAAGAGCTATTAGAACTATTGCAAAGGTGGGAAGGCGCTTAGTTGCAGGGACATATTCACAGCTTTGAAGATTTTAACGCTGCCTTCAGTATATATATTGAATATATTGATTTACGTCAAAACTCACCTGGACAATTTTAGTTCTATAAATTCTGGAATTAATAATACCAGAAACAGAGAAGTATTGCAGGTGCCGGCACATATGTTGTCTAGAACGGAGGAGAGTGCCAAATACACGGGAATAAAACTCTTCAACAAACTACCCATTGATTGTAAATCACTACCGCTGATATGATTTAAAAAAAGAATCAGGCAAATTTTACTTGATAAAGCTTTCTACCCTATAGACGAGTTTTTAATGAGTGATAGTCTTTATAAATTTTTTTAATGTATTGTTCAATTTTAATTTGTTAATTTGTTATTTTAATTCGTTTTCATGTTTATACACTACGTGTTTTTATTTGATGTTTTGAATGTTATTTATGTATGTAGGCAATTCTGTTTATACTAATATTCAATTGACTTATCCTATATCATTTTGTGATCCACAGGATGAATAAATTATTATTATTATTATTATTATTATAACTGCATTATATTGAATAAAAAAATTGCTCATTGAGTACAGACTTCAGAAAGGCACCACACGTACTATTTGAAATAGAAAAAAGTGATAGGGGAAGGGAGGGCAAGATGGAAGGTTTAACTTTATGATGTATAAAAAAATAAAATGACATAATATAAAGCATCCCACAAACCGGCGCGAAATATTCGCTTTGGCTGCGAAAATTTCGCGGCGATGAATTCGCGATCAGATTAAAACGCGGCGGTTTAGGGAGGCTCAGACTTGTGCGAAGCGAATGCGATTGTTCCAGCGTTTTTATCGCGGCGTATTTCAATTCGCCTTTGACCGCGTTTTTGACGCCGTTCTTCAAAAATTCGCAATGGCAAAAACGGAATTATTGATAGAAATAGTGAAAAAGTATCCTTGTTTGTATGATTTGTCGAACGATGAATACAGGAATGTGAGAAAGAAAGACAAGATTTGGATGGAAATAGGAAAGAATCAAATACAAATGGTATGTACCTAATATTTTTTATTAACTTGTTAAATAATTTACAGTCTACACAAATCTGAAAACGAACATTCTATACATTGGGCATAGGCATATCAGAATTAAAATAATTTACGAATTTGTCACGAGTAGAAAATGCTAGCCTTGCTGCCCGCCGAGGATCATTTGCTATATCAGTAAAAGCTCCAAGCACGGGTTCTGGGGGATCTAAGAATTGAAAATATTTGTCATCTCCACTTTTACTTCGTAAAAAATTGTGTAAAACACATGCCGTACGTACAATTAGAATAGTAGCATCTACTTTAGTTTCTAATGGCCTGTAAAATATTCGCCATTTTTGAGACAAAATACCAAACGCATTTTCCACGACCCTTCTAGCTCGACAAAGTCTTACATTGTATTTCTCTTTTCTGACGTCTGTTAAAGTCTGCTTATAAGGAAATGGTCTCATAAGGTATGGTTTTAAAGCAAATGCTTCATCTCCAATTAAGACGTACGAGCAGATTTCATTTTGCCCAAGGAGAAATCTAGGTGCAGGGACACTCATTAAATTTTGTTCAAATCGTTTTCCCATGTTTGAGGTTTCGAAAATATCCCCATCACTATTTTTTCCGAAACTACCAATATCAACACATATAAATTTATAGTCCGGGCCAACAATGGCCATAAGTACTATTGAATATTTATGTAAATAGCACCAGTAATTGGAGCCACTGTTGTTAGGTCTCTTGATTGTTACATGTTTACCGTCTACGCTGCCAATGCAGTTGGGAAATCCCCATCTATTTTCAAATTCTTCAGCACATTTTTTCCATATATTCTCTGTTGGTTCTGGTAAATATATATGCTCCATATGTCTGCATATCGCTTCACAGACTTCGGTTACGATTGCACTCACTGTTGTAAACCCAACTCGAAAGCTATGCCCAATGGTATAGTAGGTGTCACCAGTGGCAAGGAATCTATATAAAAAATCGTTTTTAGGTGATGAAGTAAAAAAAAGGTGGAAGAATATCAGAGACACATTTGCAAAGTATATAAAATCTACCAAACCAAAGACCGGCCAAGCAGTGGGCAACATAAAGAAATGGCAGTGGGCTGACTACATGGAATTTTTCCGACCTCTTTTGGTATTTGCCAAAACGTCGTCTAATGTGACAGATATTGACGTCATACATTATGAGACTGCCGAATTTAACTCAAATATATATCAGGAAAGGGCTGGAAATGTAGAAACCGAAAATTTGGAAGACCGCGGCCATGGAGAAGATGAAAATGCTGATGTAGATGCAGAAGATGCACAGACAGCACCACCTTCTTCATTGAACACTACAACACTGACTACTCCAGGGCACACCTTTCCGCAGACTGCAACTACACCAAAATATAAAACGAGCAGAAAACGCTATGAACCACCATCTTCGTCTGTACAACAGCTCATTGATTATTTTGAAGGTAAAAAAACCTAAAAAAGAGAACGAGGCCATTGATTCACTTTTCTTGGCACATGCACAGACTGTGAAAACACTTCCCTTAAAGCGTCAAGCCCGAATAAAACTAAAAATAGCCGAATTAATAGCGCACGAAGAATTTGAACATACTGAAGAAATGTCTTCAGCGTCTACCCAGAATTCTGCAAGTATGTATGATAGTAGTATGTCGTCCTTCCCAAGCGGCACTGGGTTTACTCCAATAATATACCCAACAGAGGAGGCAAACTCTGCCTCGAATTATTTAGCAACATTTAATCCTAGTGGCAACATGTAGTCCAATTATTACAATAAAATATTTATTTCACGATCCCTGAAGTTTTCGTATTCGATAAGCCTACTAATTTTAATACATATAATTTTTTTACCTGAGTGTAATAGCAAGTCGTTCTTCTGGCGAAATAGCTTCACGATAATTTGTGTCAGATTTTCGTATTTCATCTTTCACCAAGTTCAATATTTCATCGAAACACTCTGGAGTAATTCTAACATATACGTAAAAGCGCTGTTCATCCAGCCGAAGTTGTGGCATCAAGGTATGGTATTCCCCAAATTTATTTCGTTCCAAGTTAATATCATGTACCCACTTCCTTCGTTTCCTAAACAAAATTGAAAATATTTGGTTTATGTACTTCGTTAAACTTAATACATACCCAACTATCAAATGGCGTTAAATAAACATAACTTACCGTGCATTTTGTTCCTCTTCTAAAGCAAGAAATAGAAGAATAAGACGCTTTGGTATGAATAAACAGGCGAAACAGATTGCGAATTTCGCTCTGAATTTCGTTGCGAATACTTCGCCGCGATTATTTCGCGCCGGTTTGTGGGATGCTTAAACGTTATATTAATAATAAGTAGAATTATTTTTATGCGTAATTAAAAAAGAACAAAAGAACATCAAAAATTCCATCTTGCCCTTACCGTGAGGGTAGAATGGAAAGCTCGTTCGGGCAAGATGGAATGTACAGGAAATCACTACATTTTACAGTTTATACAAATAAAACTACCATCTTCTGCGTCGGTACATTATTCATGTGCCCAACCATTACATACAGGACATTGTACCCAGTCGTCTGTGGGAGGTTCCACAAAAAGTTCACCACATAATATACAGAACACATCATTTTGTGAAGACTGGTCTAAATTTTGTACAATATTTTTATCTTTTTCTATTTTTCTCCTTTTTCCTTTACCTTTTCATTTATTCTCTCAGGTTCCTATTTCTTTGCTATTATCTTGCTTGCCTTTAATGGTCCGATTAAATAATAACTTTGGTTTCGCTTTATTCTCATTTTTCATTTCAATAGCATTTTTGAATGGAGAACTGGTCAAGATTTCTGACTTCTGATATCTCACTTTCCGCTTCTTTATAGTAAGAGTAACTTTTGGTGGGGGAAGAATTTCAATTGGAGGGATATAGTATGAAGTGGATGGTTGATACCAGCTCTTATCAATAACACTGGAACGAGTTTCAAGCATACTATCTTCAGTCATTTCATTTTGTTTATGATCAAAATTGACTTTGTCTTCCTCTTTCTGCTTGTCTTCACTATCGTTCACAACGGGTGGTTCATCAGTATTGTTGTTTTCAACAGGATCATTGATGACATCACATGGATTTTCAATTAACGCATTATCATTATTTAAAGCTGAGTTTTCCGTAACGACAGGGTCTTTATTTTTGTCTGCTCCATCTGTCACAGTGGTATTTGATTGCTCTTTATAAACAGTGTCTGGTGCAAAATCTAAATCTGTAAACAAATGTCTATTGAATGGAAAGATACCAGCCTTTCTGAACCCACTTGTGGCATTTTGTACAATAGCACTTTTTTCATAGGCAGTGCAGACAAGTCTAGCTATATCAAAGTGATTTACTCTTCTTCCGGGATGATTCTTTTGAAAAGTGTCTAGTGCTTGCTCAAAAGCCACTTTGAATGAACGGTAAACTGACACGTCCAATAGTTGTTGCTTATGGCTCGTATAGGGGGAATACTGACCATAATTACATGCTTTTGTCGAGCTAAATTCAAAGCTACCAAGTTTTGATGAGTAGTGTGATTGTCTAAAATTAATAAAACTGGTCGGTCTTGTTTTATCAATAAAAATTTGTAGCCAGTTGTTAAAAGTGCTATTATTTATCCAACCAGAATCCGAAACCCAAGCCTGAGAACCATTAGGAGCTCCATCTAAAAGGCGTTCATTCATTCTTTTTCTTTGTCCAAATATAAAGCAAGGTGGGATAAATCGATCAGTGGCGCTGCAAGCACAGATTACTGTGGTAAGTTGCCCCTTTTCTGCTGTTGCTACAACTCCTACTTGTTTTTTACCTTTTACAGAAATAACTCTTGGAGGTTTGGAATCACTGGTCTTGACACCAGTCTCATCCATATTATACTCGTAGATATCATCGGGTCGTGTCCGAAAGTTATGGTGAGACATAACGCTCCACAGGTTTGCTTAGAACCGATTCACTTGCGTGCGATTAAAAGCAGAACAACGAGCTAAAGCTGTGGGTTCTGGTGTCCTGTATGTTAAGTGGGGATGTCTTTTCATGAAACAATCAAGCTATGCCTTTCCTGCTTTTTCACATGTAAACAGATGCGGTATATTATTTACTTTCGCCAATTCAAAAGCTAATTGTTGTTGACTTTGCTTTGTTAAAGCATAAAACAGCATATCACGGTCCATTGCAAGATCGCAAAGTTTCCGCTCCAGCTCTTTTGAAAAAACAGGTTTAAACCTTCCTAGGTTTTTGGTCCCCTTTTTTAATATAACGATGTAGAGTTCTAATTGGAATACCATATTTTTTTATGCCGAGCTTATTGATGTAGTTTTAGCTTCGTTCATCGCCATCTGCATCGTTTCTTCAGTCCAAGAACCTCTATTGCTTTTCCTTATATACTTGTTCACCATCTAAAACCAATAAAAAAACAATATTAGTTATAGACAAAGTAGGTGCGCGGGCAAGATGAAAACTCTTCCAACTTGCCTTCAGTTGCAATTTTCCAACTTGCCCGTATGTCCCTTTCCAATAATAATATCAATACTTTACAAATGCTTTATTATTTCTCTTATTTAAATATCAATTCAAATAAGAAGTAAGCGTTTACACTTGTTAGGTGACTCGAGCCCAACTGAGCTGTCGCTCGTAAGTGCAACATGGCCGTCTGGCCGTATGTGCGTCTGGACTCGGGTGGTACTTTGTTGCGCGGTTTGTGTTTGGTTGGTAGTTTCCATCTTGCCTACTCCTTCCATCTTGCGCTCCCTTCCCCTAGCTGCTTTTGTAAGTGATGCAATTATTGGATTTAAATCCAAATTGCACTGGTTACCGATCAGTGACATTCCAAATAGTACAAAGCTACATTATTATTACCTGCTCCTGATGTGATTTATAAAACTTGAGGAAACAATATTAGAAGTTTATAAACTCCAAAACAGTCCTTATTTTATTATGGTTCCTTAATATCTTTTAGCTACATTGCACTTGTATATGATAAAGCAACTATCTAGGAGTATTTAATAGGAAAAATGAACAAAGTCGAACCTTATTTTTACATCCAGCTAAAGACCACCGATGAACAGATTCGTTTTTTAAAAATTTAAGAAAAAATTAAATATCTCAAAAACGATGACACTTTTATATTATACATAGGTAAGCTTTTGTTATTTAGGAGTTCAGCTTCTCCTTAAGTTTGTCGTGGTACTTATTGGACACCCTGTATAGAACGACGGCGATGGAAAGAATGGAAGTAATAAACAAGATGGAACCGTTAGAGCTGGAAGCAAATGCCAGGTGGATGGAAATGCGTGCTAGAAGAGATGAAATTGCTGAGAGCAAGGTGTTGGGTGAAGATAAGCCTCACACAACTTGGAAAACAAGTGCAATTAATGAGGAAGGATTTGAAAATGGATGGATCGAAAGAGTAGATATTAGTATGAAAGACTGATGTAGGAGGTATAGTCAACAAGAACGATGAAGTATGCATGGAGTGGATCGAAAGGGTAGAGGGCGTGTCGTCCATCACTGCACACGGAGAGATGGTCTCCTTATGGAAATGCCTTCAGGAGCATAAATGGTCACCGCGGGCAGTAAGAACGGACGGCAAGGTCGCCGCCACACGCGTAAATAGACGAGGGTGGAAAGGTAAGATCAGGGCGAAAGTGAAAGGAATGATATTACATATGAGGAAACTCCTTATGAAAGTGAGGATAAAGTGGAGGTTATATGGATTAGAAGAAGACAGAATGCAGAAATGATTGTAGAGCATGGAAAAATTTCTGTGGATCAAATGTATGGGCATATACTTGACAGACTTGGTCCGGTCATTTCTTTTTTGTTATACGACTTGTAATGTCACGTATTTCTTTTAAGGGGTGATAGATTAGGTCAAAAGCAACCGATTTTGTGCCATAATGTCATATCCAGAAGTTAACCGTTTTTGGGTTATCAAAATTTTATTTTTTTATTTTTTATTCCGATTTCAGACGGTAAAATTTGAAATACAATACGCTTTTGAAATGTATGATTTTCTTATTTTTTTACTAACTTATTCGATAAAAAATGCAATTTTCTGTAAAAAATCTCTGAGTAATGAAATCTGCAAATTATGTAAATAATATCTCTATCTAACAAGCTTTCATTTGAGGTATAAAAGTTACAACTAACTCAAGTACAAAGGCATAAAATTAAAAAAGATAAGTAAAGTTGTACGAACGATAATTACGTAGGATAAATAAAAGGCTTTTATTTTAATTACAGTTTTATTTAATTACATTTCCTTTAGTATTTTACAGATTCTGTTCAAATTGTAATCCACTGTTACGAATACATGCCCGCATTCTCTTACGTAATTCGCTTTTGGTAACTCTAGTTGTTAAGCGGCTTTTTATTTGGTCAGCTGCACTGATTATCCTTGTAATTAATTCATCGCGCGTTGGTACGGGCGAAACATCGTACACCAGGCTTTTCTTATGTCCCCACACATAGTAATCCATCGGTGTGAGATCTGGGCTTCTTACTGGCCAGGCAATGGACCCGCCTCTGCCAATCCATTGATTTGGAAATTTAGAGTCTAAATACGCCCGTACTAATCTACTGTAGTGTGCGGGGCAGCCGTCGTCCTGGAACCGCATATTTTGTCTCGTCGCGGGCAGAAAATGAGGTCCATCAATGATGCCCATCCACACATTGAATGAAAACCGGCTCTGAGACCCCGTCAGTCTTATTTTTCGGGGGTTTAAAGCTTCTTTATCAGCCCAGTAATGAGCATTATGGTAGTTAGTGATCCCGTCCTAATCAAACTTCGATTCATCGGTCCACAGAATTTCTTAAAATAGTCTGGATCTTCTGTATCTGCAGAAATCTAATCGTCTTGCTGGATCGCCCTCTTCAATCACATGCACAGGCGTGTAGTGATACGGGTATAATCTTGCAGTATGCACAGTAAACCATACTTTGTATTGTGATATACCCAACTGAGCAGCCACAATGCGCGTAGACGTAGTAGGGTCTTCCTGAAACATACGAAGGATTTCCTCTTCATCTTCAGGAGGATAGAATCTGGGTCGACCAGCATCACTACGTTGCCTTTGAACACGTCCGGTTTGGCGGATGCGCCGATACACAGAGTCAAACACAGTAACATGAGGTGTTCGGCGATTCGGGAAACGTTGCCGATATTCATGGCGGGCAGCTGCAGAATCGCCGTTACAAAGTTCATAACAGAACATTATGTCTGCGTATTCTTCATTTGTAAAAGTTTGCCCGTGCTCGCTATGGCGAGGTCCTGGCGGATCTTCTGCGTCTGCCATGATGATAAAGAAACCACTCGAAATGAACTGGGAAACTCGAAAATAATAATCGTGCGTAAAACGTGTGCGCGTCTAGTCTAATCATATTAGCAAATTTCCCCGAAATAATTGTTGAGTCTGGCTTTATTGGTGCCAGTCGTTCAAGGGGGTATTTAAAACATAGACGCATAAAATGGGTATACCAATTTTTGTGACAACAAAGAATGGCAGGACCGAAAAAACTTTTCATATAAGATTTTTAGGTATTTACCAAACCTACAAAATGAGACCTACTAGTAAAAAGATCTGACTAATATCAAAAATGCTATAACCAAAAAACTAGTCAAAATGCAGGTTTCGGCACTTGTTGGTAATGCGACGATGGTTTCTCGCAGATATTTGAAATTTTTTAAATTCGTAGGATTCGTACTTCTAAATAACCACAACAAAATTTAATTGTATTTGTTTAGTGGTTTTTTGAGAATTCCTAACTGTTTATCCCAAAACACCTGTTTTCCGGCCATCACTACTAGTTTATTGAGCAATACACAGGGTTCGTTCAAAGAGCATTTGATAGCAAAATACACGCATTTACCTTGCTGATATGAATCACAAACTATTCCGAAAGATAAATGTTATTTTTGTGCGAAAAACAAAGGTTACGTCTTTTATTATAAACAAATTCAAACATTTCGTATTTGTGAGTAATTGAACAAATGATCTACGATATTCGGAAAACATACGTTACTATACACATTTTAAAACAAAGCGGATGTGTTTTATCATCTTTTGTTGCCACGTATGTACTCACAAATACGAATACGAGTTTGTTTAGAAGAAAAAACGTAGCCCATCCCTTTTTGCAAAAAAATAACATTTATCTTCCGGAATAGTTTGCGATTCATATCAGAATGGTAAACTAGTGTATTTTGTTATAAACTGCCATTTGAACTTACCCTGTGTATTGCTCAATAAGCTAGTAGTGAAAGCCGGAAGACAGGTGTTTTGGGAATAACAATTAGAAATTCTCAAAAATTAGTTGAACAATCTACTGAAATTTTGTTGTGGTTATTTAGCAGTACGAATCCTACGAATTTAAAGAATTTCAAATATCTGCGAGGAACCATCGTCGCATTACCAACAAGTGCCGAAGTCTGCAGTTTTCCTCGGTTTCAGCGAGAACTTGCTTCATCATGTTGGATCCTTTTACGTGTAATCTCATTTTGTAGGGCTCATGAATATCTAAAAATCTTGTAAGAACAGTTTTTTCGTTCGTGCAAACACGTTCGATTCAACCCCAAAAAACAGGTTTTCTCATTCTTTGTTGTCGAATAAAAAGGTTTCCCACAAAAATTGGTGTACCCATTTTATGCGTCCATGTTCTGAATTCCCCCTTGAACAACTTGCAGCAATAAAACCAGACTTTACAAGTATTTTGCAAACCAGGGGTATTTTCGTCTAATATGATTAGACTAATCGACCACTTTATCAGCACGATGCCCAGGCGTGTCAATGAGTGTATAAGAAATCGATCCTCAACAAATTATTGAGCCAGCTTCTGCAGTCATCTGACGAATCAAGCTGAAAATTTAATTATTTTACTAGTACGTACGTATAGTATATGCCAAAAATTGTTAAGATCGGATAGACATAGTAGGTGTTTACCTTTTTGTGTCACTCAGTATGTTATGTCAGTTTCACGCTGAGAGTGTGCGACCGACTGAAGGTCCCTTATAAGGCTGAGTTTTCTACTTCAAATAAAGATTTTCTGCAAATATAAATACCTTAATGGTAACGAATCTAACGTCAGTATTTTACTGAGATTAGCAGGAGGCCCCAAAAGATTTATTTTTCTATCACAAATATGATTTTGTGTTGCTTCATTATTCTTTGTGGTTAAAACGTGTGTCCGTTGTTACTGAAAAACATTTTCAAAGATTCCTATTTACTTGCAATATTGGAAAAAGATGTGCCACTACCCGCACCTCTTGCAGTCAATTTCGATAATCAGATATTTTTTTGCATTTCATGACATGTACATCACGAAAAATCATGCCATCCTTGACCCCTTTATTACTTGGAAAATAGCGCGAATGTTGATGAAATTTTGATACAAGGTAACT